AGAGTGTGTTAATTTGTGCAATGATAACCTACCAGCAATGTTAAGATGATTTTAATATATTAGAATGAGTACATTACAATATAAATTTATTAGAACGAGTACATTATTATTTATGGGCTTAAAAACAAGATGCAAACAATCAGAATATTGTAGGGTGGGGAGTGCACAATGTAAACATGAAACATATGCCATTACGTATAGGCTATTGTACTATGGTACAGTTATAGAGGCCCTTCATAATGCAGAGGTCAAGTGCCTGCTCTGCCAATAGTTAGCAACGGCCCTATGGTATGCAGTGTTTAATAAACAGCTGTTTTACTAAATTCTTCTTAGGTGAAATTCAGTGCAGTCCCGTATCGTGATATGTATCGTATCATATTGTGGCCTCTGTATCGTGATACGTATCGTATCGTGACTTTGCTGGTGATACACAGCCCTAGTAATGACTGCTGAAAATTCAGCTTTGCCATCACAGGAATAAATTACATTGTAAAATAAATTTAACATAAAACATATTTAAAATTGTAATATTTAACAATGTTACTTTTTTGTTATTTGTTTTTGTTTTGATGTAAAAATTGTTCTTTCAAAAAAAAAAAAATCTTACTGACCCTAAACTTCTGGGGCCGGTTGCACCAGCTGGACGTACACCTGGTTGTAAGACTAGGCTGGACGTAAAATGTGCTTTAAGTCGTGCATAGAATTTATACCTGTTGCACCATCTCGGCGTAGTGCTACGTCTGAGACTAAATCTTACGCCTAGTCAGAGGTAGGTGTAAAGTGAAAAGTCATGATTTGCTCGGACATTATTCGATTTTAGGATTCATGTCTGTTAGTTAATTATTACTGCAGACGTGAACTGTAATGTTTATGGTCTTTTTGGACAGGATAAGCGATATGTCGCAAAGCTCTGTGTACTATACCACACTGCCAACAGTAATTGACCTAATAAAAGCTATATTTCTGTACAGCATGTAATTATGCAGTAAAATATTACATATGATCTGGGATTATTAAAAGAAACTGTACCATGTACATGCTTGGAAATATTTCACGTCTTTAATTCCATTCATTATTTGTAGCGTGCCTGCCATCCAATAATCGCAGTAAGTTTTGTGCTTTGTTACTTTTAATTACAAATAAAGTATCAGCTTTCAAATTCTGTCAGTTTTATCACAAAATGCAAACTATAAATGTGGTTTTTCAGCCACAGTAAGACGTCAGTAAAACTGTCACGTAAAGTTACTTCAGGAAAGACATTCATTGTACATAAACTAGATAGTCAGCTAGAAAAAAAATAACTTTAGAGAGAAGCATTGTATTACATTCATTATATTTTACTTAACCTGCCGCTTTCCGGACTTGTTAGAAAATGTTTACTCAATAAAATCATGGCGCGGTGACTTCACTTGTTATGATGTCTTGAGCAATTCAGTTTTATATTAGTAGTTGTAGCCATTGCAGTGTGAATGTCGTCTCCGCCATCACTGCAGGAGAATGTGTCAGCATGGACGCGCATTGTCTACGCCGGGCGTAGTTGCGCCTGATCTTAGTTTTTAGTTGGTGCAACAGATGTAAATATTTATCGTAAAGCTGGACGTTGCAAAGCCCAGTGTAGGATTTACACCCAGATTTTGTACGTCTAGCTGGTGCAGCCGGCCCCTGAACAGTAGTGTAGTCATTTCCTGTTTGATCCAGATTTAAAAAATTGTCACAGAGATGCTAGGAACTGATTGAATTTTTTCTCCGGAACAGGAACAGATTTTCCCCTTACTATATATTTTTGGATATTGAAGCACTTTCCTCTCCGAGAGATTTCACGTCAGTCATTTCGGGTAGCTGTAACTGTCCCGTATGGTCTCTCAGGAGAGTTTAGCATGACCTCAGTATGCCCTTTCGAATAGTTAATGGATGAATGGACTTGTTTCCTTGCTCTCAGGACCCAGCAAAAGTTTTCAAAGGAAAGAAGATGCCAGGCAGGATGGGAAACATTTATGACACCAATCATGGCTTGAAGGTACACCTACCAGAATGCACAAAATGTACTTTTAAATCCTTTAGAAACTGTTTGCATAGAAATATATGTTTGTACATTTGCCCTTTTCATTTGTCCATAAAGCCAAATGCATGTTCTGCTGATACTTCTGCTCTGCATTGCACTGTGCAGTTTACATGCTGCATTGCATATACTGGATGGCATAAACATTTTTTGTTGTACATTAATTATACATCAAAATACACAGTAAGCACAATTTCAAAGCTCAGCTGTAGTATCTTGTGCTCAGGGGACAAAATAATAAACGTTTTGAAATAAATTCTGTTGTAGGAACAAGATAGATTTTTTTTCTTTTAAATCCAGGCATGACCAAGTTGTGTATACAAGGTGTCGTACACCAAAATGACAATATTGCAGGACTCACTTGACGGTGAAACATGTGCTTTTGGTCTGTCCAATATTTAATGTCATGAGACAAAGGTTATTATCAGGACAAACTCTTAACGACTTGTTTTATAAGATGGACCCAGAAAAACTTTAGCAATTTCTTTCAAAAGTACATTTAAAGTATCTTTTATAGAAATGTATGTGTAATACTTTTTTGTAATTGTTTTTTTATTCATTTATTTATGTTTATTGTATTTGTATTTTGTGTTCTACTATATTTTTAATGTATAATCTTTGCCATGAAATAGCCCGTGAAGCTGATGTGGCAATAAACTTAAATTAAACTGTGCTCAGGAGACACCTACTGTAAAGTCACCCAGATGCCACAGTGAGAAAAATCATTTGTGAGCATGTGTAGTTTCACTAAGGTCTTTACTGTGGCAGGTATGGAGAGTGAACACCAAGTATAACATCCTCTACATCAACGGATCTGTCCCGGGTCACCGCAACTGTCTTGTTAAGGTAAAACGCCTCTCACATACTCAAACTCTCAAGTGTGAGAAGTCAAATGCACTTGTTGTCCTCAGGTAGAATATCTTTTTGAAGGTGAAGGATCTTCTCCTTATGCGTCTTTGCTTTTATCTTTTCTGCGTCTGTCTTCACTTTCAGCAGTGTTTAGCTAAAAAAAAAAAAGTTGTGTACTGTACTGTCCATGCCAGCACAAGCACTGACCTTGGCACGCTAGCACACACTCGTGCTGAGTGATTCATCTATAACCATGCGCAGAGGCGGTTGTGTGTCATAAGTGCATCAGTGAATCGATCATGTGTGGTCAGCATTTCGTCTCGTAAAGTTTGCTTACATACACACTCAACCGAAAGTTGAACTCTCTCAAAGTTTGACTTCATTCAGGAACAGATGACTTTGTAATACCTAGTCGAGTGTATTCTTCTCCGCTTGTTTAATCATGGTGCTTACATTTGCTTGATCAGGTCAGGGACTCAATTCTGCCCACTCGGTTGGAGAACAACAAGAACCCGCCATTCCCCACATTCTTTGCTGATGGAGACAAAGAGCTCCCTGAAGACCTTTTCGATGAGGACGTGTTCCAGTTTGGGCAGCCCATGCCTGAATGAGGTTGTGAGCCCACAATTCTTGCTTATGCTGGTAAAAGACACTGGGCATGACGTGACCCTTGATCGACGCCTTTCATCTAGTGGATTCAGCACTGCTGGGCTGAAAGACTTTTAAAGAAGTGTTCAGGTACAGAGTAAACTCATACTTCTGTATAACAACTGGATCATGTTTAGGTGTCAAACGCAGTTGTGTATTTAAACAATAAAACCTGTTTGATATAATTACTGAATTTGTTTTATTTTCATATGTTATAGAGATAAAGCATTGCATGGAAGCACTAGGAGAGTAGTTACTTTAAGCCAGGGCTGCCCAAACTCGGTCCTGGAGGACCGGTGTCCTGAAGAGTTTAGCTCCAACCCCAATTAAACACACCTGAACCAGCTAATCCAGCTCTTATAGGCATACTAGAAACTTAAAGGCAGGTGTGTTGAGGCAAGTTGGAGCTAAACTCTGCAGGACACCGGCCCTCCAGGACTGAGTTTGGGCAGCCCTGCTTTAAGCTATATATAAAATTAATATATAATTAAAATAAAGGTATAAGTAAAATATACATTTAATATATAATATTTTATATGTGTATATGTGTGTGTAGATATAAAATTATTTTAATTTTCGGTGAATTATAATATTGTATTTTATATATACAATTTTATAATTGTATTAAATTACATTAATAAAATAATTTAATGTAACATTTTTATTTAATTGTATATTGTATAAATATTAATTTTAATATGAAATAATAAGTACCTTAAATGTTCAAATATCTAGAGGCTCAGAGTCTGGAATTAAAGAAGTAGAGGCTATGAATTACTATGAATATTAAATTTGCAACAAGTTTGGTATTCAGTTAACTAAATGATACTCAACATTAATTCTTATGCTTAATATTAAACTAAACTAAAACTTAATGCATATATGTATCTTGAAAAAGACATGAGCCCAAAACGTATAAGAAATGTGAGAAATCCGCTCTCTTGATGATATTTTTCTGAAGCTCACCTGTGATCACCTGCTCAACTTATTTATTACTAAACATCATTATAAGATTGGTTATTTTTGTTTAAGTGGTGTCAGCATTTCTGGTCTTATTTGACAATCTGCTCGATGGACGTAAAGTTGCAAATACATCAAGCTGACAGCAAAACTCTGTAAGGATACCCTGATGGGACACACTGTGCTGACCTCTGTGCATTAGAGAAGAGAGCGGGAGGAGGAGGTGGAGACGAAAGGATGAATAGATGCTGACAATGGTTGACATTTCTCCCTCTCTAAGTGAGGGGAATAAATCAAGGCATTAATGTTGCATGAGTTAAAGCTCACTGACTGATGAAGGGAGGGAGTGAGTGTGTGTGTGGATGGAGTGGCTACATTAAGAGTCGAAAGCCCTGAAACCTTGTTTTCTACACACAGCCTTACATTGAAGAAAGGTCATGTAAACACTTTGTATGTACATCGTCTTCTCTCCATCCTGTTTGTCTTGTTCTTAAGAAACACCAGAATAGTAATGGATACAGCCAGAGGGCATTTTATGGAAGTACAACAACAAAACAAGAAATGACTCAAACCAACAAACTTGTAAACTTTTTTTTTTTTAATGGAAAAAGTAAAAATGCTACAGTAAAAGCCTTTTAACTGCTTGGGTTTAATTACCATATTATGGTGACAATTGACATTTAAAGCTTTTTAATAATTGAAAACTTTTATGCAGAAAAGACATTTATAATGTTACAAAGAATTTCTATTTCAAATTAATGTCGTTCTTTTGAACATTCTATTCAAGTAATCGTGAACAAAACATTAAGCAGCACAACTGTTTTCAAAGGTTTAATTACCATATTTATGGTGACAATTAACATTTAAAGCTTTTTAATAATTGAAAACTTTTATGCAGAAAAGACATTTATAATGTTACAAAGAATTTCTATTTCAAATTAATGTCGTTCTTTTGAACATTCTATTCAAGTAATCGTGAACAAAACATTAAGCAGCACAACTGTTTTCAACATTGATAAAAATAAGAAATGTTCACTGTGCACCAAAGCAGCATATTAGAATGGTTTTCTTATTAATATTATTAAATCATGAATTGCCTCAACAATTTGCCTTGAGGTGAATTATAACAAAATGTTTCCATTATATTGCATATATTGCTTAAATACAGGGTCATTTGAGGTCAATTGGGCCACATCTCAAAAAGGCCCCCAGTTTACCTGAAATGACCTTAGGATGGTATATTATTATCCTTAAGCAGTATAGGCCTATACTTTCATAAAACATACCATCACCAAAATGACTGTAATGCGTGAAACATGGTCATCGCATTTCATGTGGTAAATCAAAAATAGTGGAAACCTCAGCTGGCAGTTTGCTGTAATTTCAACATTTCAACCGTTTCAAATTTATTAGCCCTGGAATGTCTGAGGGCAGCAATCATGCTTTCTTAAAGTTAACAAGCTATGCGAGTCTCATGCATAATAACAGAGCTGTTACATGTTGTGTTCATGTATTATTCAGTCAGAAAACCTTCCTCTGCTGTTTTATGAAATGTGACACATGAAAACTCTGGTTTGTTCAAGACTATATGTGGGCTATAGCATATCGAGAGTCTGTTGATGCCAAACTGCTCTTACGATGCGGTCGATCAAGATTTAACCCATATAAATCCTCACAAACCCACATTCACACAGATGCCTGACCTAGTAATGTTTTTGTGCTGTCTGCACACATACATAATGCAAAGAGTTTTTTTTATATCTCTGTACCATCGTCGCATGAGTGAACTCCCTGATGTCAGCACTGGAATAAAAACGGTCTTATCAAGCTTGAGCGGCACTCGCTTGTACTCAATTCACATACACACATGTGCGCGTACAACCAAACACATTGTTTAACCCGCCGACACCGTGAGGTCTTGATTTTCAGGCTCTGCCCCCCAACCAAGGGACATCTGCGCCCCCGCAGAGTTGTTCTTGATCACTCCACCAAACCTCACAGCAGTCACACCCCCTCCTGTAAACACACCTGCTCAGCACAGCACCCCTCCTCACAACCACACACACACACACCTCTGCCAGATGTGATTGGAAAGAGATACAAGCCAAAGAGACACGCTTGTGTCCATGTGTGTCAGAGTAGAAACCACTGAGGAGGTCATCAACAGTGAGTCCGTTTGAGTTGTATTTCTTACTATTAACCTACATTTAAGTTGTTTTTCTCTCAAATTTGACTTGTGACCTCCTGGGGGTCCCTGGATCTAATTGAATCAAGTTAATTCAGTCATATTAAATTATATATTTTAAGGCAATCATTTGTCTGAAATCCTTTCTTTCATCTCATTTGATGTATGTTCGTTCTGTGAAGAAGGTGACCTTTGAAAGCAGCTTCTCTGGAGCTGACCTTGTCGTGGGTGAGTGTGAGTGGTTTCTCAGAAGTGTCCTGGCACCATGCTGTCACACACACACATTCAGATCATTATATACTCCCATATAACTCAGTAACCCATCATTTTCTTCCATCCAAGAAACACATTATAAACTACAATTTGCATAGCAAACCAAAATCCACATATAATTAAATAACACTCTGTGTGAATGACAGCGGGAAAGAAAGGTCTGGAAGGAAGGGTGGGGGTTTAGTCCAGCGCTGCCTGCCACCTCAAACCAAGAGAAGTCCTGTGGCCGGCGCTTTCTGTGTTACCCAACATGCACTGCTCTCTGCTTAGGCACATTAGCATCTATTAATATTAAAGAATGTGTTTGCCCCGACAAACCAGCACACATTACAATGTACAATCATCCAATAATCATGAGCGCAGAATGCCAAACAACCGTTCCAGAGATCTTTTGATCTTTTCCCTCCATCATTATCGCCATGACAACACTCATGACATCAAGCTTTCCGTCATCTTCTGTAGCTGTCAAACACACACACTCAAACTTTCTTGCCTTGTTAACCCATTCAAATCTTTTCTTTTCCTCTGTCTCTCTCATTTTTAAATTTATAATCTATTCAAGCCACTCTAATTCTACAAACTCCGATTCAGTTCAGTAAACTCTAATTAAAGTCTCCAAGTCTTGAGTCCATGAGAGACCAGGTGTTGCCATGGTTACGGTAGAGAGACTGCTGGCTGTCAGTCATTGGTTAGTCAGAGGCAGGACCCAGCTGGGCTTGTGTATAATGTATAATATAAAATATTAACATCTTATTAATTATTGGCAAATGATTCAACTCATTAAAATAGATACACTTTTTTGGACAGTCACCGCTGAGGATCCACTACGCATCTGAATGTTTTACATTAAAAATCCCTTAATATTTCTGTTCGTGAAGTGATCGTTTCGCTCATGTCATTAATATTAAAGGTCTGATTTCAAGAAGCTTGCATCATTTAAACTTTGTCTTTATATCTGTTTTGCTTTACAAATGGATGTCATTCTTTTCTTTACAAAAACTAAAAATACAACCCAAAGTAGACAAGAAGCAATATGTCATTTTAGTATTTTTTTATATACTATTATAGTTTTATGAATATTTTGAACTAGCTTTTATTTATGTACTTTCAGTTTTAATTTTAGTATAAAAAAATATGTATTTTCTCATTTTTATTTGTTTTTGCTTAGTTTAAATATTACTGTTCAGGTTTAATTTATTTTATTTTATTTGCAGTTTGTAATTGCTTCAGCTTTAGCTAAATGAAAATTACAAATGTTGTTTGAGCAAATAACTGAAAGAAGTGTTTCATCTTATATATATATATATATATATATATTATCTCAGCTTTATTTCTATTGAAAACAAATATTTTAAAAAATGTTTTAACGGTTTTAGTTTTAGTTAACGATAATAATGCTGCAACAAGAAAAGTATAATCAAAATAAAATAACTTCATAAATGTAGAACACAATGGACTAGTCTTGTCTCATAGACAGGAGATGTAAATTAGTTATCAATATTTCAAGAATAATTACACACTAAAGTGACAGCATCTTTCTCTAGCTTTGACTTGTTATATATCTCTCTCTTTCCTTTTACTCACACTCTGATACATCCCTCTCTGCTCTGTGTAGAAGTCATTGCCTCTTTGATTAAGAGTTTATTATGTTCCCATAATTCCTGGGTAAATGTCATGGCCACCCCATGCAGGCAGATTAGCACCCCACCCTGCAGAAGAGGGAGGAAAGGAGGCCTCGCACTCAGGAAAGACTGTGGGATGTTAAACAATCAATACAGAGTGCCAGTGCTCTAGACACCTCTGGGGAAACAAGGACTTGAAGAGTGAGACATGTCGTTCTCCAAACAGATCTTGCTACACGCTTCATTTTCAGGTCCAAGCATCAGTAAACTTCAAAGAAAATCAGTTCTTTAGCATGTCAACAATTACTGCAAGCTCCAAATATTCCACTAGCAAATAGAAAATAAAGAGTGCATTAAATGTACAAAATGAAATACAATTTGTAATATATGTTTATGAAGCTCTTCTTCTTTTATAAACTAACCATTGAGACTAACAGTAAAGCCCCCATGTGCCCTGTATCTGCTATATAAACCATCTGTCACCCAAGCCTATATATGGTACACTCACACACATACTCACAGGTGACATTTCTCTGCTCTGAAAATAAGTCTCTCGGCAGCTGGAATGGGAAAGACATAGGACAAAAGATCTGAGCAACAAACGTCCGGGACCAGCCATGTGTAAGGAAGCTATTAAAAGTGTGTGTGTGTGTGAGAGAGAGAGAGTCATGATTCCCTATGGCCTTTCCCTGTGTACTGCCTTATGTACCTGTATCTTGATCTATGGAGCTTGTCATGTTGTTTCATCGCCATCATTATCTGCTGTCTGATCAGACTGTTTATCTACAGAAGAGACTAACATAATGCTAATGAGAAAACATGTTAGAGACCTATAGAGGAAAGGAAGAGAACATTTTCTATAGTGTACCTTTCAAATTTGACACATTTCGCATTTTTAAACTAACATTTTTAAATATCCTTCTACCAGTTTTTTATAAAAGGATCGATATTAGGGAGAGTATCAACAGCACACAAAATATTACACACAGACATTCCAAATGTTATATTTGTCGTTTTGTTTTCATTGTGAGAATGTTCTTAACTTCATAAATCGCTGTTATGGCTGATTATAATTAAGCCTAATCAAAACACTGACGAAAACTGATGCACTGTTGCCACCTAGTGGATACAAATCAGCATGAAAATGGGTAAAGATTCAAGAGCTTTATTGTCATATGTAGCTACTAGTACAATTAAATTCTTACTTTGTTTGCTCCTCACGAGAATGACAGGGTAGAAGGGGAACGAACATAACTTACTAGGACAATACAAAATAACATAAAAAATATAGAATATACAGTAAAGTATAAACCAGAAAGAATAAAAATAAATAGCAATAGCATAAAAAAGAAAGTAATGAAATAAAAAGAAAAAGAAAAAGAGAACCTATATTCAAATGAGAAAAACAATTGACAGATAAAGATGCAACACGAGGGTAAAACAATAATAAACTTTAATAAAATTACACATTTCTGAGAAATAAAAAACACTTAATGCGTCAATTCAATGTACACGAATTGCAGGACAATATGAATGAGCACTAGTATAATACACTCGTTTACCTAAGTATATTATGAAATCATGTCACCTGTTCTATTTTTATTTAAGCGATATTAAAAGATTAAAGAGTTTACTTTTTAAAGATTAAGATTTATTTAAGATTTTACAATTTATTTCTTTGAGACTGAAGGACTGGGTAATTTCTGAAGATCCCAAATCAATCTTTTAATGTTTTAGTTATTATTTAAATTTTTTTTTTTTTTTTGGAACAGTTTGAGTATTTTCCACAAAATGAGTAAGTGTTATCAACATATTTGGAGACAAACAAGGTAATAAAGTTAATCTACATCGCTTATGTATGGTGACGCACTTCCGGTGACGTATTTGTTGTGAAGAAGAGTCAAAGATGGGAGCGTGAGGCGGATCGGGACGTCAAGTTTTCTGATCAAATCGATACCTAATTACCTTCGTCTTTTTAGAGAACTAAAACACAGATTGTATGAAACCACCGAAAACTTGTGTTTAGTTGAAATAGTACTTCGTGGTGGCAAAATGGAGGCCGTTCCCAGGATGCCGATGATTTGGCTGGAGCTGAAGGAAGCGGGAGAGTTTCAGTTCGGTCCCACTGTCAGACAGGTGAGACGCTCCGCGGCCCATTAATCCAGCCCGTTACACAGCAGTGATCAGTGATCCGCTCCAGAGAGGACTCGTCCTGTTATGTACCACATTTTGAGCAGTGCAACTTTTAAAATTGCTAAAATGTCTGTGTTGTGATTTAAGGAAGCGTTTCTGTACTCGTACACAGAAGTATGGGTATTTTATATATATATATATATTTACAAAAAGTTAACAGGATGGAAAGAGATTTAAAAAGCTATAAAATGATTACCATTTAAGATGGTATTCTCAAGAAAACATTTTGTTTAAAGTGAACAATAAAGAAACGTCTGGAATATTGCGCAATAACTCCGTTTTATGTGTTCATAAAGTATTTAATATGATTTAAGATGTAATCTCAGTATATGCACTGTATAACAGGAATGACTCAGATCTGTATTGCCATCTTTTGATGGAGCTGCCATTTTTAACAAATGTTTTCAAGGGTTATATTACTGATGATAGATCCCTTTAACAGCAGTTATTATGTTATGAAATGGATATTTTCTCATGGTCTTTGTGCTTGTAAGCATATGGCTTGTGTAAGCTGGTCATTTGAAAACCAAATGACCTCCCTCACATTTGCTAGCTTTATTTTTACACATTTGCATTGAGCCAACACTAGGATGTTCTCTGATGGTGATGTTTTATATTGTATATGATGGTAAGAAAAAGATGACAGCATGCTTTTTCCTCTCTTTTGTCCCAGTACATTCAAATAAACTATGGTGAGAACCCAGAGAACTACATCGAGGCGATGAAGAAGCTGGAGCAACTTAGACAGGTCGGTTAGTGGTCTCATCAGTGGAATTGTGGGAAATGTAATTGCACACTGGCATATCGTTGCAGTTAGCAAGCAATTTTATACGGTTGATGAATATTGCATTGAAAATCTCTCTCATTCTCAGAGTGTGGTAAACATCCCGAGGGATTTTGAGGGCTGCAACACTCTTAGAAAATACTGTGGTCAGCTGCACTTTCTGCAGAGTCGTGTCCCCATGGCAACCGGCCAGGAGGCTGCAGTGGGTGTGACATGGTAAAATGTTGCACTCGGTGCTCATTTTGATTTGAGACCATACTTGCTACCGTTGATATGCAAGATGTTTGGTGGTCATGTCATTATAACTTTCCTGCTTGCAGGACTGATGCCTTTTCAGGGAGGAATATCACACATGAGGATATTAATTATGAACAGGCTTGTGTCCTGTATAACCTGGGTGAGTTAAATGCAATCAAAGCATTAGCACAGAAAAGCATCACTGTATTTGTTTTGCCTGTTAAGTCATCAACAGTCCCTCTAATGTATTTTAGGTGCATTGCACTCACTGCTGGGAGCTGTGGATAACCGCCTATCTGAGGAGGTGAAAATACACATTTACACCTCCACATTTGCAATTAAGAAATGAACAGGCAGATAAAGCTGCTAAAGCACTACAGTTGGAAATGACAGGATATCAAATACCAACATCTGATGTTAAAACCATACAGAGTTATGTATTTTTTAAAAATGGCAAATGGACTGGAATTAATATATCCATAACAAACTATATGAAGTGAATCCAGTAATAAATAAAAGATCTAGCTGCTGGTTTTACTTTGAAAATAGAAATAAGTAGTAATAACCCATGTAAAGTCTCCCTTGACTGTAAAACATTTTATTAGAATGTCCTGCTTTAAATGATACTAGAAAACATTTTACTCAAAGTACATTAATGGGCATTTTAAATAAAATATTAGAATTTTGATCAAATGTAGGGCTGCACAATTAATCGAATTTCTAATCGCGATTACAATTATGCATGCCACAATTACGTAATCGTTCAAAGCGACAGTTAATCGTTCAAAGTCCACTTATGTTATTCCGCACGCTTAAGATGCGTTTTTTTTCTTTCTACATGTTATCTTAAGGGTTTTTCCCATTATTTTAATTTTAGTTTTAGTATAACATTATAATACCATTCATATTTTTACTTTTTTTTATAATTTAAAGAAACCAATCCGATGTATAGTTGACATTTGAGGCTTAATACTATAGA